TGTTTTTCTCAAGCACTGCAAGGCACAGTGGGCTTGCCCAGCTCTGTCATGCTGCTCTGTAACTGAAGGGCAGGGAAGAGGTTGGGGTGGTTTCCATCTGGCTGTGCAGGGGAGAGGACACTCCTGGCTGCCACTTCTGCCCTGCTGGACAGAGGTGCTTTGCCACAGCCATCCTCACTCTGCTTTTCATTGCAGTGATCTCTTCTACCTGATTTTATCCCACTGTGTGCTGGGGAAGATGAATGTGTTCCCCGAGGCCAGGGCATGGAGAACCCCTGCTCTGGTCAGTGGGGCTGCCTGATGTTTGACGGTCGCTGGACAACACTTCTTGACTGTAAGCAGAAGAATGTTCTGAATCTTCTTGTCAGTCATTAACCTGCTCTCTCAGGGCAAATGCACCACCATGCAGAGTGCCAGGACAGCACATAGGCACCGATTAAATCTTTGGCAGAAGTGTAAGCAGTGCACATTACAGCAATTGCTGACCTTTCTGCTCTCTGCAATGTTGGTGTGCTTCCTGCCACTGGCTCTCTGTGCAAACAGAGAGGAATGGAGTTAATAGGTAACCACAGCAGTGTATTCAGTGTGTCCTTTGCAAAGGTCATGTTTGGGAATTTCCTTTTCCTAGGATCTCAGGTGTGTTTACTATGTACGGTGCTCTTCATTGACAATTTAGGGGCCACATGTGGTGTAGTCTTCAAATTCTCTTCATCAGCTAATTCCTTGACCTCTTTATTACTTATGTGTTAGCTACCCTGCTTTTAGAAGACTAATAAAATACCACAACAGCAGTAATCCTAGAGCTATTTTCATCCTAAATGGTGCAGAAGCAACTGAACTCACATAGGGAACGCTGAGTCCTCAGTGAAACATAAGTGTCTTGGAGGCAGCTCGTGGCAGCTGCTCTTGTGCTCACAGACTCTGGGATGAATGGCTTTGTGAGGAGGTGACCTGGGAATACAGTCCCATTTCCACTTTGCAGTAGGGAAGAGGAGAAAAATGATTTAAACTGGACCAAAGTGCTGGTGGGAACATGACTCCTGTCATGAAAAGTTCCTCCTTGGCTGAGATGAAGTGCCTGTTTCTTTTCCTCTGACTATACTGGAGGCCTCAGGGCCCAAGCTCACATTTAGATGTCTAACTCTGAGATGTCTAAATGAGGCTACCCTTCCCAGCCAGAATTTGCCAGGGTCTTTGTGTAGGTCCCAGCCAAGGGCTGATCTCCCTGCCTCCCTTTGTAGTCTGGAGATTGACAGTGTAGAGGGTGATTTACTCATCGCTCCAAACTGCCCTCTGGGAGACTCTTTTGGCCAGAACGGTATTTTGGGGGAATCTTCTTCTGGCCAGGCTGAAGGTCTCCTTGTGAATCCTATCCCCTAGAGCTTGCAGACAACATATTCCCCATGGCTTATTCCTCCACTGGCACTACAGGAGATAATTAGCGCGTGGCTAAGACATATGTGTTGAGGGTCAGAAAAGACAATGAAGCAGATTTTCCCCTGGAGTAAAGAAATGTCAAACAGAGTTGCACTGCAGTGAAATGATGGGATCTGTCAGTGACCCTGGCCCTTTCACTGAACAAACAGCCTGGGGCAGCACCTTCCTTCAGAAGAATAGCATCGTCCCGCAGCAAGGCACCCTTGTGAACGCACATGGTAGGGCTTTCCCAGGGGCTGGCTTCCCCAAGAGACACACTGCCCAGAAGGGCAACAGGGGACTTAATACAAAACTCCTGTGCACAACATAATTCCTCATATGCTACTACTTGGTATTTCTGTAAAAACATGCCTCAGCCCTCAAGTGAACAAAGTACCTGCCCTTGAGGGCAGCATGAGGAAGAACACAAACTTAAAAAAATAATTTCCTAGGCTGTTTTGAGATACTTCAGTAACACCTGAAGATATTAAAATAGAACAGAAATAGACTGGTCATCTTTGTCTTTGCTACACAGATCAAGCAAGGTCTAGTCTCTTTTACATTGTTCAGTTCATCTAGACCATCAGCATTATCCATATAAATTAAAAGACATGTGACTAATGCTGTGAAACAAGGTGTCTTTCTGGCTGTTTCAGTGCTTCCTGAAATAGGGAAATTCTCTTTACTGTGGTTATGCTTCACTTTCAAACTGATCCTCATCTGTACCTTTCATCTGTCTCCCCTAAGTCTGTTACCTGACATAATACAGCACAGTGTGGAGACCAAAAGTAGCTACACCATTGGTCTGGGGTGTGAAATGCAAGAAAAAGCTCTTGATTTTTCAAGGGGATCTTACAATCCAGGAGAATTTTAACAAACTGTGAGAGAAAATAAAAATAAATGCTTCTGACAGCACAACAGTCTTGTGCATTATAACAAAATAATTTGTTTTCACCTTGATGCTGATATGCTATAAATGCCAGCATTGCCTTTTATTCTGCTCACATTCCTCTCCAGTTTCAGGTAAAAGATCAAATGTCTCTCATCCTTTTCTTGGAGACAAACCTGTCAAGTGTGCCCCCTTTCATTAGCCTTTTGTGTCACTAATAACTTACTAATTTGTATCTTTGGGACTTAAAACTCTTTATTGTAAAAGATCAGTTTCGTAGGTGATATTCTATTTCTGTATTGGATTTTTCTAGTTACTACACATGGCGAAAAGTTCTGTGCATGTAAGATTGCAATGCAGCCAATTACCATTAGAATATCTGTCCTCTGGCAGCTGAAGGCAGCATGTTCGTTAATGCTTTCAGCTCTTGCACTGGCAGATAGCCTCAGCATGATGGTGTGAGAGGGTCGTGTTTTCTACAGAACTTTGAGTTAGAGTCTCGCTCTTCCAAGCTGCTTTCAACACCTGCTGCCTGCCTTTTTGCTCTGTGTTGCAGCAATAGCTCCAAGCCTGTCATAGGGGTGGCTTATAAACAAATGGTGTATTCTGTCAAGGAGGGTTAGAACATCTGAGACAAAGCAATGGCTGGGCTGTGCTGGGGACAGTCTCATTGGAGTTGCATGCAGTAGTACCAGGAGCCCACCTCACCCCTTTGCCGAGTGTTCCTACACCTGTCTCTGCGGAAGGAGCGGGGAACATGGTCCTGGACTGGGTACCGCAACCCAGCAGAGCCAACCCCCTTCATCAGGTGCCCATTGCACCTCCCCAGAAAGCCGCAGAACCCAACTGCCACTGGGCAGCAACAGGCCCTGGAGGCCCTTAAATGCTTGGCTGTCTCTTGGGTACTGCTGGACTTCTAAGGCATCACAGCAGCGAGGACCATGATGTCCAGGACTGTCACAGGTTGCTCTAGGAGACTTGAGAAAATTCAGAGAAGTGTACAGAGAAGCATTGGGAATCAAGGCAGCTTTGTACCACTCTGAATCAGCCTGCTTGTTTAGGCACCCATGCTGGAACGTGTTGACCCAAATAACTAGCTTTACACAATGAATTAGGGGAGACCTAGGATTAGAGGGATTCAAGAGATCTTTGCGTGCTGTCAACGTTCATTTAAAAGTTGCTCCACATGTGGCCTAAACTCATTCAGTTGAACACTTGACTGCATCCTGTAGAACAGGGCAGTGCCTATATCCTGGAAGCTGTACCAAGTGGTCTTCCAAGTGCTTTTAATTTACTAATATAACTAGTGAGATGTTCATGCTGTGTCCTTGCGCCATGCCTCCCAGTAGAACAGCATGTGAGGATGTTAAAAAGATGCCTGTGTTCTTCTGTAAAGGACTTCCTATGGGTGATAATTTGTACAGCTCAAAGAAAAGTCCTTCTCAGATGACACGTTACATTGCAAATAAGTCCAAATCTAAAGATTATTTTCCACATTAAAGGAATTTATTTGCCTTCAGTGACATAGGCCCCTGGGACCTCTTTCTAAAGCTGACAGTGTTTCCAAGTCTCTAAATAAAGCGACTGTATGGCACAGACCTGAGATAAAAGCTTGGGGTAGGACGCAGAGGGATGTTCTCATGAGAAGAGCACACAGAGTGGTTTTTGATAAGATGGTTAAAATGGAAGGAAATGTAGTAAAATAGAGGGCCTAATGTGGGAGTGCCACTGTGGTCTCATGAGTGGTATTCAGTCTGTGTTGAAGACTCCTATATATCTGTTAAACTAGGTAACAAAAGGTTTTGCCTATTAGTCAGAGGGACATCCCAGAGAATGAGACATTAGTCATAGCCAGTGGGAAAGGCAATGTTCATCTTCCCCGTAGTGCCACAGAGTTCTGCCGCAAAGTTTCTTCCTATCCCATGAAGCATGCAGTGCAGTGCATTTTGTGACATGACATGGGCAATCATCATGTACATCATCTTCTGCTCTTTCTAGGCGCTTCTGGCTGATCAGATGGCTCTGTGCAGTTCAGCCCCGCATGTTTGTAGTATTGGAGTGTGTGTATTTGGGGGAGACAAAGTGCTTGCCCTTCTTGTTGGCCTGGATAAAGCTACAAGCTAGCTGTCTATGTCAAACTGTGTACATCAAAGATTTTGATCTGCAGAGTGGAAAGGGATGAATCCTGCCTGACTTTGCAATCGAGTGTGTGGCACAACTGAATGCAGCTGGTGAAGCACCAGACTGCTCAGCCTCATTGCTGAGGAAGGTGCAGAACATGCATCTCATCCCCACACCTCCGTCTTGCAGACAGATCCTACTGTCCATCAGTAAAGTGGCTTTTCTCCAGTGCGGAAAGTCTGTGTGCTGGGATGCTGGGACTCTTGGGCTCAACACCTCGCAAGACTTTCTGTGTGAACGAGAGTAGGTGTCAGACCAAACCCTGCCGACATGTTAGGAGCAGTGGGTTCAGAGAGAGATGTTCATTTAGGAAATCATGGTGGTTGTGATTCCTGGAAAGGGTCTCATCTGAATCCTGACGAGGCTTGAGTGCCTATTCAGCTTGTTAGGTCAGGCAGCCCATCTTCTTGAGAAGGGGTGACACACCAGGCAGTGTACCGGGGCCAGGAATGGTTATCAATTCATAAGGATGGTTAGCAATCAAGTAAGAAATGTCTGCTGTACTTTTCAACAGAAAGATTTCCAGACTGCAGTTCAACAAGGTGAAGTTGGAAGATGCTGGGGAATACAGCTGCGAAGCGGAGAACGTTTTAAGGAAAGACACCGCAAAAGGCAGACTGAATGTGAAAAGTGGTAAGTGAAGAAGTCAGCAAATGTCTTGAGCTGTCTGCCATTCAAGCAGAAAGTGGGAGGTTCTGCACATGATCTGTCTTGCATTTTGTTTCATGCTTTCAGGATACTGAGTAAAACAATCCTGGGAGATAAGAAAAATGCAGCTTAGCATAAATGTTTATCTGTGTTATCTGCCACTGGCAATGTGGTTAATTTATATTTAAATAAACTCACAGTCCATGTATTTTTTTAAAAGGGGTAAGGAGGAAAGAAAGCTGGTGGGCTTGATGTTTTCTTTTTTAAAAGAATTTCTGAGAAGCAAAGCTCACCAGAAGACAAGTAATTAAACCATAGCTTTGTAGTTGCTTCTGGTTTTCATCCTAGAATTTGTGCTCCATCTCTTAGAGCTCAGCGGATGGAGTCTGAGGTTCGGTGGTTTTATTATTATCTTGGTCATAATAATTATATTGCTTAACATGATGGTTTGGATGCACCCTCCAGCTCAGAAATTCCCTACAGCGGTTGCCAGAAACTGGGAGAGTGCAACTAGGGGAGGGATGACTCTGTACGAGGTCTGTTTCCCAAACTCTTCCTCCTGCCACTCATAATGGGCCACTGCAGGAGCCTGGGCTCTGTGCTCTGCAGCCCTTTGGTGTGATCCAGTGTCTCTGGTGTGCTCTTATTAGCATTAGTCAGATGTGAAGGAAGGTAGCTTTGTCCTGCTGCTTTCTGGCATTATTTTCTCTATTAACCTCTGCCTCAGCAGTGTTTGCAGTCCTGAATCTTTTATTCTGTGAAGTTACAGCATCACATAGCCTCCCCCTCAGTTACTCTGCCTGTAAAAAGCCAGTGCTTGCAAAGTCTGGAGAAAGGCTTTCCATGCTCAGACCTCCATACCTTCGTGCTTCACGTCCATGAATGTAACCCTACTGCTCTGCTGTGTTTCTTTCCGATCATGATGGGAAAGGTGTCCAGAGTAAGCTAGCTGAGGCAATGCCACTCCTTTTTTTCTGACTCACGCTCTGGCTGTCCCATCGCAATTTAAGCTGTTCCTGTTTTGACTGGGAGCTGCATGTGCAACTCCTCCTCCCCATGTGCAACATGCACTCTTCTCCAGGCTCCTTAGCGCAGATCCTATTGTGGCTAAGTCTCAACACAGTGCTCTGTGAAGTTCTAGCAGTTTATAACAATTAATCAGAGCAGACGTGCAAGCTGGCCTCCTCTTGGAGCCTTCTCCTCTGTCCTGGAAACTCACTCCAGCTATTGCTGTTTCTGTATCTTCTGCTGCTTGCTATTCTGCATCTTCACTGCTGCCCTGTCCCTGGAAACCTGGTGTATCTGCCTATCCGGGACAGGCTGGCTGGGACTGATGGTCTGGGACCACCTGCTGGAAGCACATTTCTGACCTGGCACTCAGCAGTATTGTTGGAGGTCCTGTAATGTTGCTGTGATACAGACAGGTGAATCAGGACTGGGAAAAAGTCCTGAACTTACACCGCATCTTGTGATACAGAGACACGAGGTTTGGGGACAACTCTGGGTGCCCCTGTAGAGAGGTGGCATTGTAAGACATGGCCTGAGCTGTTGAGGCTTGAGATAAGCATTGTGGAGGAGCAAGGTGTCCTCAACCTATCATGTCGTTCCCCTCCAGGTGTGCAGAGGCCAGAGACAGGGGCTCCTGAGCCCAGCTGAGTCCTGGCTGGCTCACACGCGAGATGCTCAGGCCCATGAGTGTGAAGTTCTGAGATTCAGTCTCTGCTGGTAAAAATTACTCAGCCTGATGAGGCAGCATTGCAGTAGCAAAGTACTCGTTACTCTATTCCACTACCACTTTTTGGTTTATACGAGTTTCAAAAGAGCACCTTTTCACCCATGCTGATCTGTTGCAAGTCACTGAAAACACCACACTGAAGAGAAATTTTCTTTAGAAAGATAGTGGCAGTACAACGACCCCTCGTCACTTAGAAAATGCCCATCAGCCAAACCCAGCACCTCATCTCTCCTCTGCAGTTCTGGTATTTCCACAAAATACCGGGCTCAAGAATAAGTGCTTTCGCATTGAAAAGCTTTGGGAGGGTGTCTGTTTCTGAGGAAATGCTTCTGGGCTTAGCCAAAACATACTGTGCTTTGGTGCTATTTTCAGATTCTTATTACTTTGAGGTAAATTAGATGCTTTCTTAGAAAAATGTCCCATTTCCCAGTTCTCTTTATTGAGTAGTCTAATAGTGTTGTCACATGGGCATGAGGGCACAGCTCAGATGTGACTGTTTCAGACTCTTTTTTTTCCTTAGAAAATTTCTAGACACTGCCTTAACCCCACCTCCCCTTTGCTAAACACTGCAGGAAAAACAAAATATTCTTTCTGCTTTTACCTTTTCATGGTGGTGTTACTCCCTGCCTCTGACAGGGTGCTGCACACACAGGATAGGCTCCTGGTGCTTCTAGAGGGTGGTGAGGGTCTTGGATCCAAAAGGCACTGTTGCTGCCAGCGGGCTTGCATAGAGCTGGTGACTGTGGACACTGGACTTTCCCAGTATCCTGGTTTATTAAGAGGAAATCACTACATGTGCTTGGCTCCCTTATTGCCTTGGGCCATGGCCTTCATCTGTTTCATGTTCCTCCATCTCTTGTAGTAGCATTACTTTGTGCTGCAGAACTGCACATGCTTGTGGGATGGAGGCTTTTCAGATGATCTCACTTTTTCTTAAACTCCACATTTTTCTCACTGTCATGTTCTGTGACCCCGTCTTTGCACTCTTGTGGCCGTCAGGGCTAAGAAAACCTGCCACAGTTTCACTCATCGCCTGCCAGGCGATTCCTGAGCCATTTCTGCCTTTTTATCATGACAGAGATCCTAATGGCATGAGGCCCTTTGTAGCGATGGGACCAGCATGCCCTGTGCTGTTCAATACAGGGGCACTACTTTATCTGCCTCTGTTACCCAGTTACCCGTCTGAGCATACTGTAGCCAGTACTAACATACTGACAGCTACACCAGCCTGCGCCACCCAGAAGCACCTGCTCTTGTCCTCCTCCCTGCAGCAGCTAAGCCCACTCTTCTCTGCTCAAAATAGATATTTTGTTCACTACTTTCTTACCTTAATTTCCCCAGGAACAACGAAAGCACCACAAGTCTTACCAGCCTCAGAAACTAAAATAGTTGTTATGGAAGAAGAGTGTAAGTACCTCTCCTCCCGCTCCCCCTCTGTATAGCTTCTTTGCCCTTATTTGTTTTCGTTTTATAAGACATTTTGCATAAATGCTTTATTGCCTCCTGGAACCTTCTTTAATTGCTACTTCTCTTTGATTTCTTCCAAGGTCACTGGTCTTTCACTAGATGTTTCAAAAATATGATTTATATTGCTGGTGTCTATCTGAGAGAGGGAGAGGTGGATAATTATTGCAATGGTAACTTGAAAGGCATGCTGCTTAAAATTTCCACTGGATTTTAGGCATTCCCAGCTCTTTTGATACATGGGTTTATTGATACGTGTAAGATGTGCTTATTATGGCCTTTGATTTAGCAGGTTTTTTTGTTGGCTTGTTTTTGGGTTCGACTTTTTTTTTTGAGGATAATTGAGAAAACCAAAAGAGGCTATAGGAAATACAAGAAAAAAGACATGAGTCTTCTATGCATAAGCCATAAGAAAATTGTAGAAAATACATCCACACCCTGCCATCACATTTTTCCTTGAATCTCCAGAAAGGAATAGATTTCCCAAAATGTTTATTTTTGTTTAATGTTGTGGAAGTGCTTTTTAGCATTCTTTCCTATTCAGTTGTCACAAATGCAGTAAAAATTAGGCACACAGAAATAAAAATCAAAGCATGTATACAAGTGTAGATCTAGAAACCAGGTTCCTGGCCATTGGTTCAGCTTTTTCTAGTAGAGGACATTATTTCTCTGTCAGAGAGTGTCTCCTTACTGGGGGACACCACACCACCCAGGCAGTGTCAGCACGCTGGACAGCCCACCAGGATCCCATCCAAACGAGCAGGCACCCTGAGAGCCGAGGACCAGGAGGTTATTTTGAGATCTGTGCTGTGCTTCCATTCCAGCTGCTTATGCCCAGAACTGACAGCACAGCTGACTGTGTCTCTGTTGAGCTGACTGTTGACAATTCTGCTTTGCAGATTTTATGGGGATGTTTCCTCCTTGGAAAGGCAATCTTTAATGATTTTAAAGGAAATCTGATTGCAGCCACAGCAGGGACTGACCAGGTATCCTTTAAAAGCTCTTCTAGTTAGAAAACTGCACTTAAAATTTGCTCTTGTGTAGTGCTTAGCCTTCCATTGCACAGCATCATGCTGAGACGCAGCACCACTTTGTGTTCACTAGCGTAGATTCATGCTATGTGTTTGCATACCATAGATATATGATATTTTCACTAAAAGCCAGTTTTCAACAACAGAAAGGAAACTGTCAAACTACCATGTGGCTTGCACAGAAGTTTCTCCTTTTTAAAAACTTCTTTCCTCTGTGGGAACATCATCTTTGACTATCTGTTTTTTCTTAACAATGTGAAGAGATGGTAGAGTCTCCGGAGTTAAAGTTGTAATTGACTTTTCCCTTCACATTCCTTTTTTATGTTCTCTCTCAATAGTTATCTAAATAACACATAGTCCCCCTGACTTTTATGGTTACTGATGATCTACCATAGAATTGCACATGAGTATAACATGTGGGGAGGTAATTATGTTGTGATGTGTGATGATCTGGAAAGCTGAAAACTATCTAATTCTTGTAAAATTCTTGCATTTCTTTTAAATATCTGTATTCAAAAGCTTGTTTGGCACCTGTAGGTTTTCCCATCTCTCATTGTTTCACTGAAAGGTAGAAAATGATCCCCTGGATTTTAAACACCATGTTGAGAAAGCACAATGCAAACATGGTGGTAGCTGCAGTTCCCTGGGAAAGGAGAGAGTGCCTCACACAGGCAGCTTTGTCACATCACTTGGCCATTTCTATATGGCCTGTGGCATGAAGCAGGCGCCTTAGGAGATAGGCTGAGGTTAGACCC